CCTGACCTTAATCCAATAGAGCACGTTTGGGATGCACTTGGGAGAAGGCTTCGTGGTCTTAGGAACCAACCTCAGAATTTGCAGGAACTTGGCGCTGCCTTGCAAGAGCAATGGCGCAGAATCTAACCACGTGTTCACAAGCATCAGGCAGTCGATGAGGAGACGGTGTTTGGCAGTGGTGAATGCGCGGGGCGGCCATACACGATATTGAACTGAGAGAAATTTCGCATTTTATTCTTGTGACTTGACATTCTGTATACCCATGTTTTGGAACGGCGGTGTAGCCTAATGGAACTGATTATGGCACTGTCAGTGTATCGAGTACATCACACAGATCTCAGCAATGAAATAATAACAATTTAACCATCTTACCATCTCTTGTTCTTTTTATAGTGCCCTGAAGAAAGAATGTGAAGTTTCTTTTGACTCAGTATAGTATATATAGTTATAGTTATATATATTTTTCTACTGGAGTATATCATCCGAGTATTCATGGTGCTGCACGTCCACGTGAACTCATTATTCTCATCACCAAAAGAGTCTGACAAAGAAAGCAGTATTGCAAGCTAACACGCCTTATTAAGCTGTACTCGCTCTTGCTACCAATATCAGTTACGTCTTGTCTGCCGTGTTGGCAAATCTTGTAAGGTGCTTGTTTCGAGGGATTAAAGGTTCAGTGGTGAACAAAGGGCGATGAGGTGCCTCTTTGTCCTCTCAAGTGTCCCTAAGCTGTCCCAATAGAATAGCACTTTATCTCTCTTACATCCTCGATAATCTCCAGGGTATACGTTACGATCACTCTCCACTATACCCTGGATGCATCCACAGCTTAGGGCGATGATTTTATTACCTCAACGTACCAATGCTCAACTCACTTTGGCTTCTTAGAATTATCCAATCAGGTGCTGCCTGCGCTAAGGACAGTTGATGGCGTACTCTGAAGAAGTCGAAGGAGTTCTGTCACTATACTCTTAAAGTTTCAGATCTGTCAATTTGTCTTTATTATTTCCCCAAAATCTAGATGGCACTGCAGAAAAACCTTCACGACTGCGACAAAACTCCTTGTTGGCAAGCTCGGTTGTAACGGCGGCTTAGCTGATTGGCTACTGTGAGAATGCGGTCAAGCCGTAGAGGTAATAAAATCATCGCCCTAAGCCGTGTATGCATCCAGGGAACAGTGGAGAGTGATCGTAACGTATACCCTGGAGATTATCGAGGATGTCTCTCTTAGAGCATAGCCAAATATGCCAACTCGTAATTCTTAAGGATGTTATTCAGCTCACTGCGGTAAAATGGCAGTACATAATTGGAATATTATTGCGCTGCATGTGACCCTTTCTTATGTAGTCTCACAGTGCCTAAAATCATGTTATTTCTCCTTCCGCTCAGCCTTTGCTTGTAAATAACGCCTTACCTTACCAGCAAACAAATCGAGTGGACCTGATGGCATTAACGCCAGGAGGAATTAAAAACAGATTTGTACATCTACAGCTGAACCTCTTTGTTTGTTTGTATAATATATATCACTGAGTGACTGTAATTTCCCCTACATTGTGTGGAGAAGCAGGGTAATGTTACTCCTATTTTGAAAGAAGAAAATGCATCCCTCCCAGCCTAATTGCAGACCTATTGGTTTATTGCCTATCCATTGAAAGAATAATGGTAAAAGCATATGCACGACCATTTCCATGAACATAACATTTTAGAAATACAAATTCAGTCGGGTTTTTGCTGCTAGTCATTCTACTGCATCTCAGCATAGACATCCCATAATATATGCTCAGTCCTAGATAATCACCACCTTTACTGTATGCTGTTTTGTGATATTTCAAAGCTTTTACAGGAATGGTGCATAAAAGGTTTATTACTCAAATTAGAAAAATGATGGTGTTCGTGGAAACGTTTCTTGGTTGGTTAACTTACTAGACGACAGTGTGTCTCTGTTAATGGAACTTTATGAAAAACTAAATGTTACTGCAGAGGGGGTTCCTCAGAAGGATCTGCCCTTAAGACAATTTGTGTTCCTTGTATATATCAATGATTTACCTGGAAATTTACAAAATATCACAATAATGTTGGCCGATGACACATCGATCGGTGTTGCCGGAAAATATGTAAAATCCAAAAAGCAACTCTCAACTATAGTTTGGCCAATTAAATCAATGGGCAGAAAAAGTGGTGTGGTGTGTTCTAACGGTTAAATCATGTAGCATACTTTACAAGATTGCTTATAGAGGGAAGTGGTAATGTGGTTCTAACATGATTTATCTCAAATACATACTTAGAGGCCAGGAAAACCTTAAGGTATGAACAGCCCTAATAAACTTTCGGCAATAGATTTACTTGAGCCACATTTTCCAGAACCGCATCAGTCCTCTAAAGAGGCTATGGGTACTAATAGGCTTCGTCCTTCAAGCCTGAGGACCTTTTAATATGGTTGATTAATCCTTTGTCATTTATCAAAAAGTAGTGAGGTTGTGCTTTATTATTATAGATTTCTAAAATATATATAGACACTATTATTGGGACGTTGGTAACTGTCATCAGACATTATTTGACGACATTTCTCATGGTTTGAATATATTCGACTTTATAGAAGATAAATATCAGTTTTACAACACAACAGCCTAAATCTTGGTACTTTCGGATATAGAAAGATATATGCTGAATATTTGAGTCGTTAACCTAGCATGTTATGGTCACGAATATAATTTTCTATTTATTACCGAAGTCTTTAATTGCGGAAATGCGCGATAATCTAATTTCCAACAAAGGCAGGCTCCCCGTCATCGTTGTATTTAGAAGGCGGCTTCTTAGAAGCAACGTGACGTCATAACATTGTTCCTTGATGTCATGTCACCATGACAAAGTGATATTTCACCCGGTGCATATCCGCATGAAAACAAATTATCCCCGATATGTTTGCCTCGTATGTTATAAGCGGGCATTGTTATGATCATTCTTTGAGGTTAATGCCACCCGTTGAATTCTTTGTTGTATTTTGAGCGGGTGAAACTAAATCAATAGTTTTCTTTGGTCTACCCATAACAATTAAATCCTTCACTGTACCTTAGCTTTCAGAGTTTTGACTTTACTTTTAACGAGCACATCTGATCGATTCCTTGAAGCAAATGATGCAATTTCAATATCATTTCTACATTTTATTTTATATGCATCAATCAAATGCGACAAATGGTGACAGATTGACTGCTATGTGACAAGGAATAACCAGGCGCCAGCGATTTATGATATCCTTAACCAATGTAACAGAAATTCCCTCATAAAAATACAATAATATGTAGTAATATGATGAAGAAAATAATACGAACCAGGTTAAACTATGACAACGCAATATATGAATGTATGATCGAAACATAAATCATAATAAATCACATATATGATTAAAACATGAAATTAACTTCAAATATGTCATTGCGTCAACATTGAAAATAATTCGAAAATGAGGGAAAAACGTACATTTCAAAAGCGTAAACAAACAATATCCTGTTATTTTGGGATAAGCTATGAAGAACTTCAAAATGTAATAGAAATAACATTAAATTATTGAAGCTATTTGCTCGTAAAATATGTCCTTGCGTCAACATCGAAAATAACTCCATAATGAAAAACAATTAACTTTAAACATACACAAATAATATCTGGCTTTTTAAGACGTGTCTCGAATAATTTCACAGCTGGTAGAATCAACGTGAAATTATAGAAACCATATGCTTAACAAAAATTGAAAGGTGATTAGTAATGACAAAGCGTTTGTCTGAAACATAGCTATTACCCCGCCACATGTCGATATCAGATGTCGCAATTATCCTTTGTCTGACCCTGAAAATTATGTAAACGTTACCGAAACTGTCATCTGATGCCTTGATACAAATTGCGAACTTCCACCCATTAGGTTTGGAGATATCGCAAGAATACTCGCTGTGAGCCTTGAAAATAATCGAAGGTGCACTGAATTGGACTGGCGTGAGACGATACTCCCAACGCATCTTGGTAATTACTACCTTTAAGCAAAACATATTAATTCTGTCTTGTATTTTCGCACTAAAAGTTAGACATGTGCAAAACACTTTTCACTGTGAACTTAAAATGAGCACAAGTTTCCCAATCAATTGGTGTTGGGGAATCCCGTCAATACACCTTGATATAAAGTGGATCAAAATCTATTAATACTTTCCTGAGTTCGCGGCTACCAAGCTTGGCATGTGCAAAACTGTTACACCTTCGCTGTGACCTTTAAAATGACCTCAAGGTCACTAAATTCAAGTGGTGTCGGTAAATCTCCAATCTCCAGTCAATAAACCATGGTACCAAATGTGAACAAAATCCATCATTTCTTTCTCGAGTTCTTTCAGTAAACCGAAGGGGGAGTCATTTGAACAAGCGATTGTAGTTTTGAAATTGCGTTTTTGTGAAGTTTATTATCTATGTTTGATTCTAGCCGACTTCTTCCAATCTCAAACATAGCATATTTTGTTTCCTGAAGTTTGTGATGCATTTTATTGCAGATTTTACCTTTTTGGGGCGTACCAAGCCAAGATACAAAGTCTCACAAAATGGGGATCGTGAGGCTGCAACATAGCAAAACCAATTTGCTTGAGGCTGACAGATTATATATAGAAAAATAAAACATAAAAACAGCGCATTTGTATCATATTCTAGGTAAGGCTGACTACTATTTGAACGTCCCTCGTAGTTATACCCGAACACCCACCCACCTCTCCGACTCCACATGCATGCAAGTGTGTTAGATATACCCGTTAGAAACCCACCCCTACCCCACCCCCACTTTATGTATACATATCAAAACCTCGAAGATATTTGCGAAAAGACATGATACAGAGGACAGTTTATATACGTCGTAACACAGCCGCCTAACCCGCTCAGCCACCGCGACTTCCACAGTTCTTTGGAGTGTAGTTCTGTAGCCTGATTTACCCAATAACTATTGTTTGGGGTTCAAATACTCCATTGATACTTAAATAATTTCGTACTTTCAAGTTAACACAGATTCCCGAACGTTGGTCGGTTGTAGTTCTGAGTAACGTGTATGTTATGATGTTGTATGTGGTGTGTTACAGAACAGATTTTGAGGTAAACAATCTCCACTTCGAAGGTTTCTCTTTGGAGGCTTGTCGGCGGTATGGATTTGATCTGAACCATGGTCACAATATTGACTTCATGAAAATGGAGATAAAGAATACAGGTATGTCTACTTTATATTTACAGCTTAAGGAAATACTCACGGGCCAAAGAAAGTAAACCTTTGAAAATTTAATTTGACTCAAAAATAACATACGTTAACATATGTCGTATTTCGGATTATACTTTCTCAGTGAAGTACAGATTGTATTACTTATTTAGGTTCCACTGGTAGCCACGGTGGTTGAGTGGGTTCAATCGCTGACTTTGTGTCTGGTGATTCGGTGACTGACTCTGAGTGACTGGGATCGATTCCCGTAAGGGACTAAGCCTAAAAAGTACTTGAATCTATACTTTACTGAGAAACACCAAATATAGCATATGCTATTAAAATGTATTAAAACAGTCACCAAAAGACTGTAAACTGAAGGTCCTAAAGCAACTGTGACACCCGTACTACGAACATCATCTTCGATAATTTCTTGTTTGTTTCATTTTAGCCATAATCAAACATAGATGCGTACTTTTTTTACCAGAAGTTTATATATATACTGAAAGGCAAAAGAAACGACGTAATATGTGGGAATGACATTCAAGTATCAGTGAAGTATTGGAACCTATTTTTCTTTAAATGTACACCGGAAGTAGTTTGAAGAAACCATGAATCATGGTCGGATAGCCTGATTGGCCCAATAAACTATTGTTTGAGGTACAAATACTCCATTGATACCTAATAATTTCTTACTTTCAAGTTTACACAGATTCCCGAACGTTGGTTGGTTGAGAGAGCGGTCATGTGATCTAAATTTCAAGGTTCATTACTCTTGAACCCTTCTAATCGTTCATACTTGTGTAAACATCGTTCATACGTGTGTGAACGTTTTTCGCTTAGGTTTCAAGGACCCCCAATAATCTTGCTGCAATTGGTGATGCCATTTTCGCGAACGAACCTGTTTCAAGTCATCCCAAGTTTGGCAATGTCACTACCAAACGGATTGCCCAACATTGTTCCTTTTCACAGGAGTTTAATGTCTCGCAGTTTGCGGGTTCATCTGGCGGTTTTCTGCCCCGAGGTCTATTTAACAACTACTCAATAAATTTCACAATAAACAATCACAAATAAATAGAATACAACAAGATCTATTCGCTACGTCGCACAACTTCGAAGCCGGTCAGTGTATTATTACGCGGTCAAACGAATCCGTCATAGTGAAAAGGTTTGGTAAAATGATATTGTTATTGCTATTGCTATTTGTTTCTGTTTGGTAATGTTATTGATGTTATACTTATTAAAGCAGTTTCAAACCTCATGACGAATTTGTTGTTATATTTTAAAGATCGAATACTTTGAGAACTATTTCTTCAAGGGTTGGGATACATGTGTAAAAAAATCGCCTGGTATACAAACATCGCTGCAATACGTTCTTGAATAGAATGGCATTACAACATTTTACAGATATTAAAACACACTGTTTGAACACCGCTTTGACGTCGTTCATTTTTCAATGCAAACACACAAACTGATATTCGATTCTTAAATGTCATCTCCAATATTACGACGTTTCTTTCTCCTTTCAGTATACTTGATGTGATAAGTGCCAGAGCACGAGCGCCGTCTAGATAAAATTGCCACTGTTTTGCACACTGCCAGGAATTCCATATACATTGTTGAGACCTTAAAACGTTCCAAGATACCGCTAAGTGAGCCATTCCATAGCATGTCTGGAAATAAATCAGCAGACTGAAATATCGTCTTTGTTATTTTGTGATGAGACACCTGTAGATCTAAGACAATACTTCTTTCAGGTGGCTATGGAATCCATTGTTCTGGAGACTGTCGGTACGTGACCGTGTCTTCGTGTGAGATACATCACACCTGTGGAGGAATTTCAATCACAGGTAAGTGATACTGATATAAGAGGCCTGTCGGTCCTTGATGCCACTTTTTGTATTTCGATGTACACCATTTAAGCAAAAATATAGGAATACTACAAAAAGGAATGTCAAATAACTATTATTATTTTATTAAAATAACATTCTAAAGAACTTAAGAATCCAGAACCAACCATTTCAATAACCTGACCGCCTCCCTTGTATGATGATGGGGCGTCGTAGTGTTGCGCAGAAAAGTTGGAAGTTCGGGCTCTGGCGTCGTTACACCAAAATACGTGGTACTTGTTGTTTCCATGCCTGTCGCTCGGCATAAAATACATAATACAATTTGACTAACAGCGAGTCAGTATACTGTTTGGCATGTATATGAAACTGGGTTATGATATCTCACTAGTGGCTATCACTATATCCCAGTTAGAAATGGTCTTCGACAACCCATGCCTGTCGCAAGAGACGGATAACGAGATCGGGTTGTGAGGGTAGCTGACTTGGTTGGTGCATGTCGTCGTATCAGTTTGATGAATGATGCTCATTATATCAATCACTTTGTTGTCCAGACTCGACTATTTATTGCCGGTCGTCATGTAACGGGGAAAGTGTTAAGTGCAGTATTAGACAACCAACAAATAAATAATCTATATACATAATTAAATGCAGAAATCCTGAACGCGACGTTGTACCACATTTCATCCCACGCCATGATATAACCGTTATTCACATAAACTGATGCACGATGTATGATATTATTTGGAATAGGTGGTGATCGAAAGACACTATCTCCATCTGGCAATCTGATACAGGACAACCATATCTGGCAGTATGCACGTGTCGGGGGCGTCGGATACAACGCCATCAGCCCCGGAGGAGTTGGGATATCCATGCGCTACAACCACATCCACGACGGCCAGTACACGGGAATCAGATGGGCGGTAACACAAATATTGGTTCACATATATTTCAATGCAATCGATTTATTCGATTTTAGATGGTAATGCAAAAATAGAAATATTACAGAATGAGGAACATAATCAGTCTAGTAATACCTTAAAATATCAATTAACGTGTCCTTGTGAATGAGTGGGTGAGTGAGGAGTGAGTGTGGTTCTACGCCGTTTTAGCAGTATGGTGTAGCACGGCAGGGGATACCACAAATGGGTTCCACACTTTTTATGAAGGCATGGATTCAGAATTAGTTTCTTCCATAATCTTTCATAATGGATGGCCTTCTGCCCTTAACATGTCGACCAGAATTAACAATTACACTCTAGACTACGGTTATAATGGACTGGAAGGGTCCACTATTTTATTCGTTATAACCATAGTACGTTACACGTTTTTTCGACTAAATACACAGCATGTTGCCGGATCCCTTAAAAATCCTTGTTCGTTATAACCGCGACCGCCTCCGTGGTGTAGTTGTTAGAGTGTCCGCCCGGGGAGGGGAAGGTCGCGGGTTCGATCCCCGACCGCGTCATACCAAAAGACGTTAAAATATGGTACTTCTTGGTCCCTGCCTGGCGCTCGGCATTAATGGGTACAGCAAGGACTGGTCGGCTCGGAGTCAGTATAATGTGTCTGAGTGGGGTATTCATGCTTCACTGCGGCATGGTATCTCAGTGGGCTAGCACTATAAAACCAGCTTCAGTCTGGGCTAGTACAAGCAGCCGCACATACACATACACACGCATGCACGTCGTCATATGAGCGAACTATTCTCAAGCACGACGTAAAACCAAATTTCACCTCACCTCACCGTTATAAGCGCATGCTACATTACTTAGTTTACTGTGTCGGGTGATAATACAATCGATTGAGATGTGTGTTTTAAGTCATCAAATACGTGACTCGTCGATATATGGCTGCAATAACGCTAATGTGACTTTCAGTTTCAGCTGGGGGCGGGATAGCCTAGTGGTTAAGGCGTTCGCTGAAGACCCGGGTTGGATTCCCACATGGGTACAATGTGTGAAGCCCATTTCTGGTGTCCCCCGCCGTGATATTGCTGGAATTTTGCGTTAAACCCACCTCACTCATTTAGTTTTAGTTCACGTTTTAGTTCTATTGCAGGGCAATGATCACGTGATGGAATACAACCATGTACATCACGTGTGTGTCAACTCCAGTGACTGCGGGGCCATCCACGCCGGGAGAGACTGGACCATGGTGTGTGGGATGTATATTTATTCAGAAGATAATATGCAAATTCGGTCCAATAACATCAGAGACGGCGGAGTAGCCTAGTGGTTAAGGTGTTCGTTCGTCACGCGGAACACCCTGGTTCGATTCTCCAAATTGGTACAATGTGTAAAAGCCATTTCGTGTGTCCCCGCCGTGATATTGCTCAAATATTGCTGAAAGCGGCGTAAACCTAAGCTCACTAACTCCTGTTATGGCTGAAATATTGCCGATGTGACTTTAAATTTTAACTCACTCACTCACTCACTAACTCGACGACTGCCTTTAAAACAATTACGTGGCACATGGAATACACTAACCCAAAAATATTAAAATATTGTCAGTTGTGGTGGTGGTAGTGCCAATATCCGACTAAATGTCTGACCAAAGTGTTTAATCTGAAACTGCTCCACAACTGACAACCTTCACTCCGTTATCAGCGAGGCAACGTCATCCGCTACAACCACATCCACCACAATCTGAGATACGTCCCCGGAGCCCAGGTCCGAGGCATCATGCTGGACGACGAGTACTCCAGCGTCAACATAGAACACAACGTCTTCTACGATGTAAGTCCAAGTGACATAGTAACAGAGTTATAGTACGAAAACCTAATGCTGACACTTTTGTAACATAAAATATTTTTCTAATCCAAATTTCAAATTTTCTTCTATTATTGTGGTTTTATTTTACTATTTCCTCGTTACTTTAAGTTTCTTTCAAAAATTTAAAATTTTGAGCATTTCCTCTTTGCTTCGATTATTTTCTCGTTCATTTGAGTATTGTGTATATGTTTATTTTTTTCTTATTTTTTTAAAGCAACTTGATGAAATGAGAAAACAATCCAAGTAACAAGAAATAGATCGAAGCAGAGTGGAATTTTGCAGAACAAAATAATTTTGGCCAGAAAAGGGTCAGCATTGGGCATTCGCATGAAGAACACTCCGATATTTCTGTTCTCTGAAATTAATCATACATAGGGAAGAATATTACATCAATTTACTGTTATTTCCATAGAATGAGGTTCACACCAACATCGGCGGAGGCCGTGACAACATCATCCGCTACAATGTCTTCTACAACGCCACTGCCGATTCCATACAAGTTGACGGCAGGGGACTGCACCATTCCAACGAAGCTGAACTGATGCAGCATCTCAAGGTAAACACAAATCTCAGTTTTGTCACACACCATATTTTGGCCTTTAAAACTAGTTTGTGGTTTATTAGTCTGGAGGATAGATGCTAAGGAACAGGTACCCATCCAGCTTTTAGAGTGAGTGAGAAATAGGCTTAACATATACCCACCCATGACGGGAATCGAACCCGGATTTTCAGAATCTTTGAGTCGAGCGAACACTCTAAGCACTAGTCTACCCCATCCGCGCCTCAGTGTACAGATGAAATAAAATACATTAGAATTAACGTTAACCAACAGATTTCAGGTATATTATAAATAAAAGAAAATTGAATTATAGGAATGCAAATATGCCAATTTTCACTCTCCCAACAACCTATTTCATCTTTGATCTTAGAAGCGTCTATGCCATACATCTAAAGTCTTTTGATATAAAAACACGCAAACGATTTGCTAAGCGAATCAAACGTTATATCGATGAGGATGAAAAAATAATTATCATTATTCTATTTTTGTCTTATTCTTCATATTGTTTCAGTTTGTAAACATTGATAACCAGAGACTTGAGTGTCAAAAAATTATCAACAATCATCAGGAGCATACTTATTGGTGATAAAGAGTGATAAAGTGTGACGTCACTGTTAAGCGTTGTGACGCAATTAGATTAAAGCGAGTATGTCCTAGGAGATGTGGCGTGACTTCACTCAAGGAATATCTTCACTGGAAGCCAGTTTTGGTGATAAAAAGCGGTTACTATGACACGGGCGTGTGCCATATTGTTTGTATGAAAGAAGTATCCAATGTTTCGTCTGGCTGGACCGCTGGAAATAGATAGCTCAAAATCGCAAAATATCCACTCTAATGTAATAGCGTATTTACTTCCTGATTAAGGATGAATACATTTTTTTCGTAATATGTTACAAACAGCTGTTTTTCACCTGGTGTTGGATTAAACAAACTTTATCTTCCAATACTGGTATCCAGAGGAGATATCGTTTGGTAGGCTTTGATCTAATTGCTGATTGGTCAATAATTTCGGACTACTTTCATCTTCCTTAGCTGTAAACAAAGATGGCCTCCGGAAATCGAGTTATATTTGTTCATGATTTGTTCTAACGGTATAAAATTTACTTAAAATGCCACCAAGAAATGGTAAAACTTATGCTTTACAGAATTTAAAGCAACAAATGTTAGCACTACTTTTTTGTGTGCTTGTTTTATATGACGCCATGATGTCCCTCGTTCCCTCTTCCATCACTCTTGATCTCTTGAATGTATTCATACGCTAGTCTTCAAATGATCTTAATACAGGTGACGTTTCGTTCTTAGTTTCTCTTGAACGACAAATTAAGTATGGTATTGGATGATAAATAGAATCTCGCCCAAGTGTTTTTTTATATCAAATGTATCACCACTCGTTGAAAAATGTGAGAAAACCCCTCGGCAAGCCTCACGTGGTGATATATTTGATATCCAAAGACACTCGGGTGAGATTCGCTGTATAAGCATATTCTAACAACCAATGGTCATATTACATTCCAGGCTGTGCCTTACACCAGCCCCCTGTGGACCAGCAGATACCCTAAACTGGCGAACATAACGAACCCTCTTCAACCAGCAGGTCCGGAAATGAGTTCATAACCTTCTGGCAATTTTATTAACAGCTTAAGGGATAACAAATGATCTTGTAAACTGAAAACGTACTGAAAACAATTGACGAGTAGCAGGATAGGCTCAATTTTCCACTATGACTGGTTCATAAACATATGCTCATAATATAGTAAGAATCGTACAGTAGTCTCTGTGTTTATTTTCTTCTTTTCTAATGATCATGGTAATGGTTTTGTGTCATTTATATATCGGGGACAGACATAGCGGCATCATAAATGTCAACACAATAGTGTTGATTTAATATCAGAACATAAATAGAGTGTTTCTTGCTGGTTACAGGCGAAATGTAATAATTCAAAAACAATTATCTTTCAACAAAACTTACATAATTCTCAATTCATACCCCTTTGTTTGTAGGCAGATGTTGCAAATATGTGTAATTATAAAAAAAAGTTCTCACTTCGTTCCATACCTTGAAAGACAATTAACTATTACTAATTTTATTTTGGATTATATTTATAACCCTTAAAGACAATCTTATCATATCATCGCATTCACCTTTATGTTTCAGGCAACGACATATCAAATAACATATTTTACAACGTACGTGGTGTCCCTAGCATATACTACTCTCAGACAGGCATAGAAAAACCAGAGTACTTCAACGTGAGGAATAACCACAAGGTAATGGTAGTGTATTGGGAAATAAAACATTGGATTTAGATTCAGTTCGTTTACTAAGTAATGCAATATGATACCCCTATAGAATTGGTCTTCAGCAACCCATGCTTGTCGTATGGCGACTAACGGGATCGGGTGGTCAGGCTCGCTGACATGTCATAGTCTTCCAACTCCTCCCCAATTTTTGGCTTTGTCCGTGTCAAAAAGGTGCTACACTTTTCTTCGAAGTCGCTGAAAACACACCAATTGGCCATTTCAAAAACTCACTTTTACTGTTAAGACTTCCTGAGTCACTTTGTTACACTGCATTCAATGTTGAAGTGTTTCTTGAGTTAATACAAAACAGTTTCCAAGCTTTAGGTGACGTGTGTTTTACTGTTTTAGGTATAACTGAACAATAATTTATAGAGCGGAAAACAATCTCAACAGGAAATGCTCATTTTCTTTTACTTCACAGTCTGTTTCACCAACGGACTTCTGGTCTCGTGATGACGGCGACTTCCGGGTCAGATGTCAGGCGCAAGAGTGGGCCAATGCCATCAATTTCCCCCAGCCTCCCGATGTAAACCACGTGGGACCACGCTACCCTACAGGACCCCTGCACATGCAGCAACGTCAGTTTTGCTCTACTATCTGGGTTAGAATTGGTCTTCAGCAGACCATGCTTGTCGTAAGAGGCGACTAACGGGAATCATGTAGACAGTCTTGCTAACTTGGTTGACACATATCATCGTATTCCAGCTGCTTAGATCGATGTTCATGCTGTTGATCACTGGATTCTCTAGTCCAGATTCGATTATTAACAGAAAGCCGTCATATAGTTGGAATATTGCTAAGCGCGGCGTTGAACAACAAAATACTGGATTGCCATATTAAATGTCAACCAGTATCTATGTTTAGCCGGATAATGTCATAACTATACTCTCCCAAAAAAGAAACGCATCATGAAAATAGCAATTTCATGTAGCAATGAATTAAAACGTGATTCATTTTACAAAAGGTTTTGCTCTGTTCATGAATCCTATGGTGTTTATGTTTTGAAACATCACAACAAAACGCACCATCCGTTAAATACCCGTATTTAACAGCATGATTTTCAATTTCGGCGTGTAGGGTCACAAAATACACAATTAACATGCAATGCTCGTGAAAGTTGGGGATCAGATAGTCTCAATGATGGGTATAAAACGTTGGTCGCTGTCTGTCGATTATTCACTGGATTTGGAATATTGTTGACGAACGCAAAATGCCACGTCAAAGTGAAGCCAACCATCATATCGCCATTGGTTTGCTTGAAGCTGGCCAGTCTCAACGTGCAGTTGCCCGACGCATGACTGGTCAGCAAAGCACCATTTCACGGCTCTGGGAGACATATCGCCGGCAGAATGCGGTAGCAGATGTCCCTCGTAGTGGGCGACATCGAGCGACAACTGCGGCGCAGGATCGCTACATCCGGGTACATCACCTGCGTCATCGAACAGCTACGGCGACCAGTACCGCTCGACAAATACCCGGATTGAGGAGGCTTTCTGCACAGACCGTCAGGAACAGGTTGAGAGGCTGGTTTACGTGCCAGAAGACCTTATTTTTGCCCTGTGCTTCGACAACAACATTGTCGACATCGAGTTAAATGGTGCACCAACGTTCAGGCCTGGAACCTACCGAATTGGCGTAGAATCTGGTTCAGTGATGAATCACGATTTCTATTGGAACGACGCGATGGAAGAATGCGGGTGTACAGACGTCGACGTGAACGTTTCGCCGACGCTTGCGTTCCCCAGGTTGACAAATTCGGCCGGGACAGTGTTATGATGTGGGGAGCGAACACCTGCCGTAGGAGAAGTGATTTGTGATGATCCAGGGCAACCTGACAGCTTAGCGGTACTGTGACGAAATCCTACGCCCACACCTCCTTCCAATCATTGATCGCCAGAGGGGAGTTGTTTCAACAGGACAATGCCAGGCCCCACACAGCACGTCACACTAGAGACTTCCTCCAGAACCACAACATCAATGTGCTCCCCTCGCCCTCAAGATCACCGGACTTAAACCCGATCGAACATCTGTGGGTTGCCCTGGACAGACGGGTGCGACGCCGTAACCCTTAGCCCCAGACACCTAAGCAACTCGCACAGGCACTACAGGCAGAGTGAGCTGCGATTGGGCAACACGAGATTCTGAGACTTATTCGTTCGATGCCGAGGCGATGCCGTGCAGTTCCGGATGCCCATGGTGGTCACACGAGGTATTGACTTCAGCGCCCCCACACGTCTCCATGTGACACTCAAACTGACTTTCCTCGAGTTGGTGCCAAAGACGGATACGCCTGCATTCCCGTGTGCAATTTCGCTATATTTCATTGAAACAAGATGTTTCAAAATAAACATAAAAATACAGTTGAAATTCCTATATGCGTTTCTTTTTGGGAGAGTATACTTCCAAATTGGTCAGTGGACATTGATTGATTATTGCCATGTAACATTTTTACTCTGTTGTGAATATTGGCCTATGTCGGAGAGTTTTTAAAGTGATTAAGTGCTTATACCTCCTCTTCTAATTACCAAACCGACACATGAGTCTCATGAACCCATTCAGACAATGACCTACTTTTCAGCCGATCCGAATTTTCTTGTGTGAAAGTGAAAAGAGACACTACAATCAATTATGGTTACACGAAATTCCAATTCCTTGTTTCGTAAGAAAATGATATTTACAAATATATTTAAATTTCCAGCTTTAGAAAAATCGTATTTCTATATTTAATGCCGAAGTTTAGGCAGCATGATGTTACCGAAGACGTCACAGACTGTCCCTGTTTGATGAGGTCGTAAAATGATTAAAATGAAAATGATTAGATGTATTAAATGATACTGATTAATATTTATGTATCCAGTTGAAAGAGTTGGTCTCAAAATTCTGGACTGGTTATTGTTCTGAGTTGCGCAATAGGACGGAACCCAGTCTGCAGGAAACGAGACGGTTGTGTAATCAATGTTTTGACTTGCATGACACGTCAGTCGCGAAAAGCATGAAAACTGATGATGAGGCGTAAATCATCATTCATTCATTTTTAAATGAAGCAGAATATAAACACCAAAAATGGTCAAAGCTGTGTTATAATCCCTGGGTTGGTGGGGACGCCTAGTGCTCAAAACATTCGCTCGCCACGCCGAAGACCTGGTATCCCCACATGGGTACAATGTGTGAAGCCCATTTCTGGTGTCCCCTGCCCTGATATTGCTGGAATATTGCTAAAAGCTGCTTAAAACCATATTCACTCACTATATTACCTGGCCCGTATACTGTGGAACAGCCCGTTTGAATTGGATCCGGTTTCAGATCCGTGTCGTTGATTGTAATCGTGCACCGATGGTGTAGAAATCGTTACACACTTTTAGTGTATCTGGTTTATCTGATCCAAATATTATTATGGGTCAAGGTGATATGTCGGGTATAATATCAAACAGCATTTATTCACGCACTCTTTACAGCCAGACAGACTCACAAGTCCCCAGCCCAACCTGCTGCATGTGCCGGAACCGTCGCCCCAGCAACGAAGACACCACAGACGCCATACATCTCAGACGGCTCCGGGCCAAATACACTCTACCCAAATATCCAGAAACAAGGTGATTATTGAAAACATTTCTTGCTTAAAGTCTCTACATCCAAATTGATGCTTCTTCGTCTCATCATTTAATTACAACTTTTTGTGTGGCAATTGTAGGGCACACACCTGCTAACACTGCCACAACTGATCCTCAGCAAGTAATAATTGTCGTTAGATGCGACAACGGGATCGGGTGGTTAGGCTTGCTGACGTGGTTCATGTCAGAGCGATGCTCATAGTGTCAATCACTGGATTGTCGAATTACAGACCGCCGTCAACTAGTTAAAATGCTGAGTGTGACTTAACACAGCAACACGTGTCTCCTTAATTTATCTGGTGTATCTTCTGCCTCTGATCAAGTGGCAGGTTGTCCTAAGATGACTAATCCACAGGCAACCCCCCCCCGAAATACTCTAACGTGTGTCATGTTTAGTTGTTGGATTGTTTGTTGTTTCACGCCGCACTCGGCTATATTCCAGCTATAAGACGGCGGCCTGTAAATAATCGAGTCTGGACCAGGCTCGGTAGTTTGGGTGGAGGTATCCAATAGATAAGGATGTCAATAAGAGGGTTGAATCTTTTCAGGTTGCTGGCTGATCATCACCGGCTGCCCCCTCCACCCCGTCAGCGGCACACAGCGGGACGTGTGGGGGGAGCAGCATGAGCAGACTGGGGTGAAGGAGGAGAACTGTCTGAAGAGGGCAGCAAATGAGTGGAGGTACTGTGGCTCACCTGACAAGGAAACTGTGACTGCAGTCTTCGGTCCAACAGGTTTGATCACTACCAAAATTCAGGCAACCAATAAGAGCATCTCAATGCATACTCACGCTATTAACATTTACATCTCTGCGTCCTGCTGTACAAAACACCCTTAGTGCTACGACTGTCGTCGTAAGTCTGTGTTTCCACAAACAATTACTAAACAAGATCATTGAAATTATCCATCAGTTCATATTTTGTGTTCTGTAGTGTGTCTGGGGTAAGCGTGTGATTGGTGACGAAATTAGACACTAAGGTGCTGTTGTACAAAGCGATCTTCGCGCTGCGACTGTCGTAGGTCTGTTAAGGTATGAGAGTTATGATTTCCTTAGCGCTAAGATCGCTTTGTACAACAGCATCTGGTGCATCAAAATGGTTATTGTTGGATTGGACAATTTTAATGACCTTGTTTTGGTATTTGTTGGTGAAAACGTTGAAGTAGGTCTCTATTGAGGTTTAAATGATTATTTTATTCCAGGCGCCATGACAATTGCTGGAAAACACTGCTACTTCGCCGACTACGGGTGTGTCAAACATGGCGGCGCCCACCCTGGGAGGCTGGAGGTTGATGGCTACGGGGAGGCTCACGGAGGACTCACAGACGAGGAGAAGTGTTTGGGCAGAGCTAATGTCCAGTGGACGTGGTGTGGGGCTGACCCTGCCCACCCCTACACAAGCATCTATGGCCCAACAGGTAAGTCTTTTGGAACAGGCCGTGAATGAGCGACTGAGTTGTGTGTGGAAACGCTTGTAGAATTACAGATAATGACGGGGTAATGTTGTTTTAGGAGGGACACCAGACACAGCGAAGATCATAGATATATAGATAACCCTTTGAAGTATTGTAACTGTGTTGACAACTGAAGGACCATAGTCAAGATGAACCTGTAATTCGAACTGATCACAGGAGCAAGACAAGCCTAAGGGACACAACTCAGTACAGTGTAGTTCGCTGTCCTCTATTCATGACTCGATCTAATGGTCAAGGGAACCACTACGGACAAACTGTAAACTATAAACAGAAACATTTAACGACAGGACAATTTTGCTATGCTATGGTATGACAGCTACGGTCATACATATTAGTGTTGTAACGATGCATCGAACCATCGATGGATTGCAATTGTTGAGTCTCCGATATCAATTAATCGATCGTAGAAACCGCAAGTTATCGATGCATTGAGTATGAAATTGTGAATAACAATATGTTTACGTTTTAAATGTTTACTTGATCTGGATTTCAAGTTTCTTATCAGTTAGTAAAAGAGAATGAAACTACTTCAACTATTTCTGTTTCATATAATCTATACATTCATTTGGGAAATCACTGCAATTGAGACAATTCATTCAATTGTATTTTATTTATTGTATTGCAGTAGTAAGTCGAAATAGCCTATTGCTATCGCAAAGAGCCTGACAATACGATCCCGTTAGTCGCCTCTAATCACAAGCATGGGTTACTGAAGACCAATTCTATACCGGATCTTCACGGGTCGTATCATCATGTAATGACCTTTAAGAGGCTTCTGTTTACTGTTCGGACATTTTATTCGAAGGTGCTACGAGACATGTAGGAGGCGGATGCTGGATCAAGATCTCGACCTGTCCTTCAGACAACAAACTGACCGGCTTCTTCTACGACGCATGGGGAGCCACCAACCTTGACACAGGTGAGTGAGTGAGTCACCTACCTTGACACAGGTGAGTGAGTGAGTCACCAACCTTGACACGGGTAAACGAATGAGTGAGTGATCAACCTTGACACAGGTGAGTCACCAATCTTGAAACAGGTGAGTGAGTGAGTCACCAACCTTGACACAAGTAAAAGAGTGAGTCAGTCGGTCAGTCAGTCAGTCAGTCAGTGAGTGAGTCAGTCAGGCAGTGAGAATTTATTGTTCCATCAGGTCATTTTTACTACTTAAATGCAACCGTGAAGACCCGGATTCGACACAACACGTAAAGGTGACCCCATTCTACGGCCTCAGGTACACCATTGCCCCTGAATATTTATTATGAGAAGATGAATATATGTGCACATTTTCATCTTACTATGTGCAGCAATTCGTATTTGTCGAATTAAGCATATATCTTGATCTGGTGAGCTTTTGATCTGCCTGGCGCTCGGCATTAATGGGTTTCAACAAGGACTGGTCGGCTCAGCGTCAGTATAATGTGTCTGAGTGGAGTATTCATGCTTAACTGCGGCATGGTATCTCAGTGAGCTAGCACTATAACACCAGTTTGTCTGGGCTAGTACAAGCAGCCACAAATACACATGCACGTCATCATATGCGCGAAATATTCTTAAGTACGACGTAAACCCCATTTCACCTTACCATGATCTGGTGATCAAAATCAGTGAAGTGGTGGCTGCGAGTCAACATTAGGTTCGAGACAATGCTGTGAATGTCAGTCACGTGTTTATCTGAATCTATTTCAATTATTTAATGGACGCCGGCCATGACTTGAAGACTACATCCTTTAAAGAAACTTATGAAGTGTTTTTGATGTGACACATACATCTGAATCGCTATTCTTTAAACCTTGTTTCGTTTTATCAACTTTGATAAATACTAAACAACGTGATTTGGGAAACATTTCTTATTCCAGATCATGACTCCAGCGAGTGCTTGGCCAGGGCTGACTACTTCTGGCAACATTGTGGGTCACATCGAGACCACCCCATCACAGCCTACTACAAACCCAAGGCAATCTCTAGGACTTCGCCCTGAGAAAATGTATAATTCGAAATTGAAGATATTTCTGAACATTTATTTATGATAACCTTGTCAAGAGTTATCGGCCGTTGTTTGTCGTTGTGTTAATTAAGTTAAATTTTTCAGCTCTTAAAAAAACATGTCGATACATCCCTCAAAGAAGAAAAATCTATTAACATATTGGGAGTGGGAAGACAATCAGTATACACTTAACTGAATAAAACTGAATATTTGAGCAATGGTGATTTATTATAACCTGTACCTTAGTGGAACACGTATACAATATGGCAAAATAAAAAAAAATAACAGTTGTTTAACAAACAGGTTCAGATCAGGAGAACTTAATGGTTCTGTGTTTACTGTTAGTGTTAACTGCTGTCTGCCGCTTCTGCTCATTCACGAAGTGTGATCACTGATGGTCTCCCCATCCTACATGAAGTGCATCTACAAGCTCTTGCAGTTATTGCCGTTCAGGATGACGCAATCGACCCAGTCCCTTCCATAAGCGTTCAGTAAACATGTGTAAACTTGTTTTCGTCGCTGCATGGCTAGAATAATGCCGATGAGACGTTGAATTTTAATTCACTCACGCGTTCGATCGGATTCACATCTGGTGATGGAGAGGGACATGATAGGACGAAAAAATAAGTCACGTCTCAATATCGTTTGGTCATGAAACTCGCACGCACCACATTTGTTCTATCAGAGTTGGGGGATTTGCCTCATACGATATTACGTAAGTCTTATTCGGATACGTTTTGATACTTCAATCTGTCTTCAAGCCAATAAATGTTCTCAAAGGGTCAGTAGCGTACAACACATTTACACAACACATACTATTCTTTTAGGTATCGCGCAGTTGAGATAGTGATAAAACTGGGTTTAACGTCGCATTCTTCTTCTTACTTTTCTCCTTCACACCGCTTTGTTATCTGTGAAGATCGTGTTAGAACTGATCTTCAGTAACCTGCTTGCCGTAAGAGGCGACTAACGGGATCGGGTGGTCAGGCTCGCTGACTTGGTTGACACATGTCATCGGTTCCCCATTGCGTAGATCAATACGCATGCTGTTGATCACTGGATTGTCTGATCCAGACTCGATTACTTACAGACCGCCGCCATATAGCCGGAATATTGCTAACTGCGGCGTAAGACTAAACTCACTCACTCACATTTGTCTTTGCTGTGAATGTTGCCTCGAGGCTACTGATTTAGCCTTAGGACTGCCAATACGTTTGAGACCATGAGTGTGGTTTTAGACTGCTCTGAGCTCTATTCTAGTAATACCACGGCTTAGGACCTCAGGTATGGGCTTCACTCACCCTTATAAGGAATCAATCCCGGGTTTTTGGTGAGAGGAGCAAACCCTTTAACCACTGGCCTACACAACGTCTTGTTGTCTGGGACAAACCTTTACGAGCGCATGTAAAATCCTTATGTCGTACTTTCCTTCAATACTCTGCGGTATGTCTGAATAGGTGAGGTGAAAGTAGGTGTCAAGCTGCGATCAAGAATATGTTTGCACTTATATAGTGACGTTCATAAACATGAGCGTGTGGCTGTTTGTATAAGTCTGGACTATCGCAAGTTTTGTACACTATATCCATGTTTTTTTAGGTGGAATAGTCATACCGCATTTACTTCAATAGGACGGTTGGGAATCGTAACGGCTGAAGTGCTGACTCGTCACACAGAAGACACGGGTTCGATCCCCATATTACTTTAATATGTGAAACCCATCTCTAGAATACATTGCCTGATACTGCTAGAAGAATACGCGAAACGCGAACACTTGGTGTCTAAACATATTTCTTTATGGTTTGGCACCAGCGTTGATGTTTTGTAAAATTATGCTTGTTCGTTGTTTGGCACCGCATGACATCGGTCAGTAAATAACCAGAACCCGAAACAAGTGGTTAATAATATGAGCACCGATCAACCGTCGAGGTATAAGATGGCTCGAAGTTAATAAAATAATCGATTCTGTTATTGATCACTTGATCCACTTACGATGTTCATTTACTGGGCTCTGTGCCAGTTTGTTTGTTTATTGTTTTACGCCGTACTGAACACCATGTGATCTATGTGACGTCGGTCTGTAAATAATCAAGTCTGGATCGGAGAATCTAGTGATCGATATTACAAGCATTGATCATGCATTTGGCAAGAACATGCCTCAACCGGCCAGAGAGCCTGACCACCAAATCCTGTTAGTCACCTCCTACGGTAAGCATGGGATGCTGAATAGCACTTTCAACCCACACCGTGGCCTTTTTATGAGTGAGTGAGTGAGTATGGTTTAACGCCGTTTTTAGCAATATTCCAGCAATATCACGGCGGGGAACACCAGAAATGGGTTTCACACATTGTACCCATGTGGGGAATCGAACCCGGGTCTTCGGCGTGACGAGCCAACGCTTTAACCACTAGGCTACCCCACCGCCCCCTTTTTATGAACTGAATCAGATATTTGAGTATTTAAGAAAGATGAGATTAACGGCATTATCTTATGTTTTATGACATCACTGCACAAACCATAGTATTATTTCGCCAATGTCCTTTTGATGATACCGACATACATGACCTGGTTTGACGACGGAGCTCGACCTACTTTCACTGCTGCAGGTTAAACATATGATTCGCATTATTCATAGAATTGATTCAGTTTGTGTTTACACTCGATAGAACAGGCGTGTGCTCGAATTTAAAGTCATTCACCTCAGTGTTTGATATACCAAGAATAGTAGAGGTTTAATGTCCGCCAATTCATTTCTTGAAATTCAGGACAAATGTCACATGATAAACATAGGTCTTGCGTAAATTTACTGATGGAAACGAATAAGGGAACACATGAAAGTACAAGTGTTCCTTTATTTATTTCCAGAATTTTACCCACAGTGCAAAATATGCCTTGTGAAGAAACTTGGAAAAGAAAAAAGGAACACTTGTACTTTCATATATTCCCTTATTTGTTTCCATGAGTATATTTTATGTCCGTGAACTTTGCTCGTTTGACCCTGATACATAAGTACTTCAAATGCATAACAAGAGATAAACGAAACGTATTTAAAAGTTCTCCAAATTGTAATTAACTTGTCTGTAAATGGCTTTAAAAAAATCAGTCTGATTTAAGAGTGAGTGAGTGTATTTAGTTTTACGCCACACACAGCAATATCCCAGCTATATGGCGTCGGTGTGTATATAATTGAGTCTGTACCAGACAATCCAGTGATCAACATTATGAGCATCGATATACGTAATTGGATACGATGACGTGTATCAACCAAGTCAGCGAGCCTGACCACCCTATCCCGTTAGTCGCCTCTTACGAGGGTAACATGAAATGCTGAGCATGGTTTGGAGACAACGGAGGGAGCATGCGTTTGAGTGATTGACTCACTGGAGGAACACAATTATGAGTTCATTTGGCATTATCACGGCCTTTTTCCAAGGTACTCTTTGCCATCGTGTCGGTGCATTAAATTTTGAAACGTATACAGGCGTGTTGTGTTGTTTGAAAAAAAATATTGAAAAACAAATTGCCGCAAGTTTCGTTCATTTTCACAGACTTTCTGTAGGTAACGTTGTTTCGTTTCGTTGTTTCGTTTTCAATTGTCCTCATGTCAGCATGTGTTTTGTTACAAACATACTCGTGATGGAACAAGAATTCCCAGGGATAGTGTCGAAATTGTAGCACAAACGCCGACGACGCAGTCATAGCGACTCTATGCGATAATATGCTAATGTCATTTCTTTATCAACAATCACGCTTGAATTACTAATGCAGTGTCTAATTTTTTGCAAATCATGTAATAATAATGCGTCATGTTCCGTATTTGCTCAAGCATGATCTCTTTGTGTGATATAGTCATTTATGCAATGACAAATGCAAACATTCTATCCGTGGAAATCATTCAGATTTTTCTTCATTCACTGACCTGGGTGCTAAAGCATTCAATCAACAACGTATGCGCGTTTCTTTTAACTATCTACCCAGTTTCTATCGTATTCTAAACCACAATACAAGTGTGTATCAGCCTTATGCTAACTGACATTTGAGCCTGATTCTCTACCTCAGGTATCGTGTCTTTTCATGCGAATACGTGTATTTGTTAAACGTCCGATAAAGTCCATAACGTATCGGGTTATATTTGGGTTGCTTTTCTTGTGAGTCATGAAGCTGAACTGTCAGGGATATGTTTGTGACAATAGTCTTGGTTCACAGAAGTGCAATCTTGTTTTGCAACATCTCGCAGTTCATTGCCTACTACCTCTCACAATAACAGGACCACCTCCGTGGTGTAGTGGTTAGAGCGTCCGCCCGGAGTGCGGAAGGTCGCTGGTTCGATCCCCGACCGCGTCATACCAAAAGACGTTAAAATATGGTACTTGTTGGTCCCTGCCTGGCGCTCGGCATAAATGGGCACAACAAGGACTGGTCGGCTCGGAGTCAGTATAATGTGTCTGAGTGGGGTATTCATGCTTCACTGCGGCGTGGTATCTCAGTGGGCTAGCACTATAAAACCAGCTTTAGTCTGGGCTAGTACAAGCAGCCGCACATACACATACACACGCATGCACGTCGTCATATGAGCGAAATATTCTCCAGCACGACGTTAAACCCAATTCCACCACCTCCACCACAATAACAGACTCGCTACCAGATAGGGTTACGTCATGAGTGATTGAGTTGTAAAAGTATGTAAATGTAAAACTTTTAACTATTGAAGACGATACAATATAGAAACAGGCGATAGATTGCCAACAACAGAAGGTAGATCACTATACTAAGGATCATGGGGACTTACAGTACTTTTGCTACCTTCATGGACCCTAGCTGGATTTACACCATCACTTCAGCCGCTGGCGATTGTGCTATTTATATATTAATCAAAACATTTCAAACAATTCAATTCCTTAAAAAAAAACAATTTTGATGGTTACGTCATGATAAAGCAATGGAAATTGACATTTATTTGATGTCTCATATGACTCGATACTGGCATTAAGTCTCATATTTGCCTTTAATAACAGCGATAAAACTGCTTCGATAATTGTAACGAATATGCAAGGATTAACTGCACCCGTTCGCCCTCTCGGTAATGGGTCGCGAACAAACAACGATGACATGGGGTGCTTGAGAAAGGTTGAGGTCACCCCGCCCCAACGGTGGGAGACGCAACAAACACATTCAGTGGCAAGTCAATTGTTCACCTGAAAAGGTACGCTCGATACACGT